ATATCAGGAAAATAGCTCCTTAAAATGTTGGCAGGTTAATTTTTACTGTAACTTTGCCTATTTAATGTGTGTGATCCAAAGGGCTAAAAATTAGCATGCTAGGTCTAAATTAGGCTCTAGCCTACATTCAAGAAGTCTTTGAAATTTCCAAACTTTTAGGGTTTTTTTTTTTTTTTTTTTTATCCTACCCTACGTTTTGATTCTACAGAAGAGGATTAGGGCCACTGAAAAAATTTAAGTTGTCTGATTTTTAAATATTATTTCAGTTTAATATGGGAAAAAGTAAGAATTCTGATTTTTTTTTTTTTCAGAATACAGACTTTAATCTCAGAATTCTGACTTTTTTCTCTCAAAATTCTGATTTTAATCTCATAATTTGAGATTTAATCTCAGAATTCTGAATTTTTTCTCAGAATTCCGACTTTTTTCTCAAAATTCTGATTTCAATCTCAGAATTTATTCTTAGATTTTGAGAAAAAAAAGTCTGATTTTGAGATTAATCTCAGAATTCTGACATTTTTCTCAGAATTCCGACTTTTTTCTCAAAATTCTGATTTCAATCTCAGAATTTATTCTTGTATTCCGAGAAAAAAGTCAGAATTTGAGATTAATCTCAGAATTCCGACTTTTTTCTCAAAATTCTGATTTCAATCTCAGAATTTATTCTTAGATTCTGAGAAAAAAAAGTCAGAATTTGAGATTAATCTCAGAATTCTGACATTTTTCTCAGAATTCTGACTTTTTTCTCAAAATTCTGATTTCAATCTCAGAATGCATTCTCAGATTCTGAGAAAAAAGTCAGGATTCTGAGATTAAAGTCAGAATTCTGAGAATAAAAGTCAGAATTCTCAGATTAAAGTCAGAATTCTGACTTTTTCCTCATATTATACTGAAATAAAATGTAAAAATTAGTTAACCTTTTTAATTTGTTCAGTTGCCCTAATCCTCTTCCGTATGATTTGGTATCAATTTGGTCCAAATTGAAAGGAAGAAAGGACAATGAAAGGTTTAAAAATCCAAAATGGCTGCCACAAGCATCAAATACCTGGCTAGCTGCAGGAAATAAATCCCTTATAGTGCTCTAAAAGATTAGTAAAGATTTTTCTTCAGTAATTGAATGTAAAAAAAAATGCAGAAAGGTGCATTTTTATCAGCTTGCGTTGCTAAAAGGTGTCAGCATGAGAAGTGGTTCTCTGATGTGCATCTTGAACACAATCTCACTGTACAGTTAGTTATTATGATGTGGTCTTCCACTACTTTACCGCCACCTGCAGGACAAAAGCCGCTAGTGAAGGAAAAGGTTAACAAAACTTTTAGAAGGGACATGCTTGAAGGAATTGTGCCTCTTTAATTAATTAGTTTTAAAAAAGAGATGAAAAAATGCAGCAGTCAACATTGTTTCTATTTCACTGGTTAATTGCTGATAAAATGTTCCATTTAGATTTAGCTTCAAGGGTATTCAAAGCTTCTTTATTAGCGCAGTATTCTTGGTTTTAATCAAGCCTAAACCTAAGATTTACACCAAGCTTTGTTATTGTGTATATATTGAATGTGTTTCAGTGCAACAGCATTTTTTATTGGAAATGTATTGATGCTATAAGGACAAACATGTTGGACCTGTAAGAGAATATTTCTTTTGTTTTCCTGTTAAATTTTGCGTTAATAAAGAAAAAAAAATATTGCAGGATGTTGTACCATAAATAATAATTATTTTTAAACTACCTCTGTGTCTCCTGTGGTGATTTATTTATGGTTTGACTGTTTTCCCAAATGCCTTTGTGGGGAAGTTTGCATTTTACAGATGTGTGGTTAAATAAACAAGGCTGGAGTTCATATGGAAGCTGGTAAAGGACAAGTGGAGCGAGGGGAGTAATTCAGAGGGAGCTGCACAGATTTCCCCAGGAGGCTCGTTGAACAGAAATCATTTGTGGATAATACTAATAGTTCTGTTTACGTTGGAAGTGGAGGCTGTTAAAAATCATTTGCGGTTAAGTTAAAAGAGGAATGAGTTTAATTACAGAGTCAGAAATAAAATTACACAGCGGTGCTGTAAAATAGAACGTACCCTTTTGCAGATTTCTTCCATTTTTACATCTGTGTCACACAAACTGGATATAAAATCCACTTTTCAAAGGAGTTTTTAATATGAAACAAAAAAGAATCACCTGATGAAACTAATCTGTATGTGAAAAGGTAAACGTTCACTAAACCTTATGACCCTTTGCCATATTAGGCAGAAACAATACAAATAAAGCTTTGACATGTTTTCATATCTTTATAACGCTGTGTTGTTATTTTCATTTTTTTTCTGGGGGCTCTTGATTTGAATGCAGTCTAGACTAGTTTTTGTTTGAGGATTTGAAATGTGGACTTGTTGGTACGTTTAGATGGTGCATAATCCTAAGTATGGTTGAGCTTACCATGGTTTATAAATATTGTCATACCTCTTATCATAAATATTGTCATACCCATAACTAATTTTTTCAAATTACAGACTTAGACTTTATCCCTTGGGATATAAAGAAATCAGCATTTGCACATTATTGCACTTGCACTGCAGAACTGTTCTGACCACTTCAATAAGTGAAGATTATACAGACTACACAGTGGTTGACTTGGATTATTTCACTACAAACAAACATTAATATATTTAAATTTAGCCCAACATTAAGTGGTGTACAATTGTGAAAAAGGGGAAGAAAATTATGTGATTTTAACTATTTCTTTTCACAGTGTGAAAAAAGTATTCATCCCCTTTTCGTCTGTGTGCAGTTGCCTGATAATGACTAGAGTCCACCTGTGTGTTTTATAATCTGCTCTGTGATGGCTTGGTGGGAATTCTAGAAAATGTAAGTGGTTTTAAAGTAAAAGTGGTTAAAAACAAGAAAAGGAGGAAGATGTGAAAGTTTGTGAGCACTGATCACATTGGAAGAGGTGCATTTGCAGAATAAATGCTCATTGGTTACATGAGTTCCAATGTGAACCGTATAAATCCTCCACCACTGAGAGGTTTAAATGTCAGAAGTTTGGTGATCAACAATGTGGTAGACAGCGTGGATATGAAAAACATGCAAAAGATGCACCAATTAAATGCTGCAACTGTGGAGGAGGAGTGTACTACTGTCTATATAGGATGTGATGTCAGCAAAAGGTCTGAAGAAATAGAAAAAATGTGACTAGAGCGATGAACAGGTTATGATGAAGCTGCAAAAGGAATCCCACCAACATTGACAACATAAAAACAAGTAAAACAAATTATAAAGTCAAATTTGATTTGATATTTGTCATTTATTGTGTTGGGTTAGTTTAAACCAGGAGTCACCAACCTTTTCAAGGCTGAGGGCTGCTTTATGGCTACTGAGTTACGGGATTGGCTACCGATACTGACCTATAAACTGAGCGATCAGTGTTCACCTCAACTCCATACATAATAAACATACTTTTTACTGG